CCCCGCTCGCACTAGCACTCGCGCTACTAGCACTCTCCCCACTATCCGCATGCAGCTCGTTCGCCAGCCCACTCGAGCGCGCGTTTGCATTCCCATTCGCACTCGGCAACACCGGCGGAAAGTACTCCTGCCCCTGCCCCTGCCCCTGTGCCATCGCCATCGACACCGGCACAGGCGGGAAATACCCCTGCGGTTCCCCACTCCCACTCCCCTGCGCCGCCCAATAATACCCATACCCACCCGGACTCCCCGCATGCCCATGCACCGGCGCCCCCACCGCAGGGTTCAAAAACGGATTCACAGCCCCGCTCCCCGGATGTCCCCACAGCGCACCAGGCGACATCGTCACCCCCGGCGAGAACGGCGTATAGGGCGACATGACGTGCATCATCGCGCGCGGCGCAGGGCCCTGTTCGCCTTGCACAGACGCAGACGCAGACGCAGACGCGGAGGAGGGGGCGGCGGGGGCACCTGCGGAGGCAGAGCCAGAGGCGGGCGACGGCTGTGGTAGGAACGTAAAACTCGGCATACTCGGCGTAATCGGCGGAAGTCCATGCGGCGTCATCGCGACGCCCATTCCCATCATGAGCGCGTGCGCCGGGTGATGCAGCGGACTCGCGGGCGAGAAAAAGTGCGGCGAGAGCGTGTGTGGCGGCGGTACCGGGAACGCCGACGCGGGCGGCGGTGGCGGGAGCGCGATCGGCCCTGGGTGCGCGGGATGCGCGTGTGCAGAATTTGAATGTGGCTGGTTCGATTCTGGTGAAGTCGTCGTCGTCTGCTCTTGAAGTCGAGGTTGCGTTTGTGACGATGGCTGCTGCGGCATCCGATACACTTCCTCTTCCCTCTCCCTCTCCCCCTCCCCAGCCACAGCATCCCTCTCCCTAATAACCGCCGCCTCCACCGCGCTCCTCTCCCCTCCCAAACCAATCATCCCCGCAACCTGCTCCTCACTCCCCGACGCATTCGCCAACGTACTAAAACCCGACGCACTCGGCTGCAACGCCTGCGCCTGCTCCGCGCTCGGCCCAAAATCATATCGCGCCCCGCCCCCACCCGGGCCCCACCCAAAGCCCGCGCCCGCGCCCGCGCTCATATCGTAAATGTCGTACGGCGAGTTCGGGCCCGAGCTGAGGAACTCGAACGTGTACGGCGGGGGAAACGGCATCGCGATGTGCGTTGGGTGCTGTTGTTGATGTTGTTGTTGGTGTTGGTGTTGATGTTGATGTTGCGGATACGGTTCCGGCATCGGCTGCATTGCCTGGTAGGGATGTTGCTGTTGCTGCTGTTGTTGTTGTTGCTGCTGTTCCTGCCCCACCCGCAACCCCTCAAAACCCACCGCCGGCCCCTGCAGCTGCACAAACCGCGCCTGCATATGCACCGCTGCAAACTCCGCATCAACAGGACTCTGCCGCATCCCCGGCGCTCCATCACCCGCACCTGCTGCTTGCACACCCTCATACCCCGTCCGATAATGCACCAAATCCGAGTGGCTCCGCTGCAGTATCTGCTGCGCGAGCGGGACCGGCCGGCCATGCACCGAGTACGCATGTGGATGGGGGAAGGGCGATTGTGGCGTTGAGAGCGAGTGAGGTGAGGGCACCGCTACGGCGAGCGCAGCGCTCGTTGCCGGGGCGGAGAATTTGTCAAAGTGGACCTTGAGTGGCCGTCCATTGTAGTCATACCTGCAGCATCGGCCATGACGTTAGCACGCGATCGGACTCACGAGCCTTGTACCGGCGGTGGGCACAGGTTGAAGAGAAATGAAGGGCACCCACCCGTTAAACATGCGCACGGCCCGCTCTGCATCGGCCTCGTTGGAAAAGCTGACCGTGCCGAATCCGCGCGAACGACCGTCCGCCCCGAGTGCAACGTCTGCGCGCGAAACCGCACCCGCTTGGCGGAACAGGTCTTTTAGGTCTTGCCATTGTATATGGAACGGTAGCTGCAGCATTGATTAGCATCCGGCACTCAGCGCCTGCGAACATCGTCTTTCAGGCAAGCCCGCTGCCTCGTCCGCGGAGCTCGACTTTAGCGACATCTCACCGCTAACGAGTCCATGGCTCGGTGCGTATACACAGCCGACATCTCAGGCCGTGCCCTCGCGCCCCAGCAGCAGCAACACTGGCACAGGGAGCAAGTGCCGGAACGCAAAATCGAGCGGCGACGAGTCCGCGCTGGCGAAACCAAGTCAGAAGAAGGCTGCATCGCGAGGGACGCGGTCATGTCAATCTTTTCTTAAAAAAAAAATTGAATGAATTTAGAGTGTTGCTGAACGAATGCGCGAAAATGACCATCAGCTCGGATTGCACCACGTCCCAATCATCTTCCCGCGCCCGCAGAGCCCGCTCGTAAGCCCCGCACGCGCTCGCCGCACCGATCCGGCCCCTTGCACACACGCGAAAAGTAAACACCGAGTCCGAACACGACCACTCACATTCCCCACGAACAAATTCCGGCTGACCGCCGGCGTGCCCACCCCCGTTCCCGACATTGACGACGTGCCTGATGAATTTGTTGCCGCGAATGCCTGCACGCCCATGAGCACGTCGTCGGCCTCTGTTCTGGATCAGCACGACACCCAATTACATACCGAACGCAAACACGCACCAACGCCAGAGCCGAAGCGACTCAGCGGGCCCGGCGACGGTACTGCGGATAGCGCCATCGGGCTCGGCTGTACGCTGTCTATTCCTGCTGCTGATCTCGCACATCAGCATCTTGTGCCTCTCCACAGCGTGCATGCGAGGCGTGCAGAAGCAAGGGCGGCGCGGAGATGAAGAAAGCGATCGGGAACACATAACGACCGAAATGAAACCAAGGGCACTCACCTAGCAGTTCCTCGCCCACTCTGTCCTTCCTCACTTCCAGTACGCGCCCCTGCCAGCACCATCCCTGCGACGCCCGAACAACCAACGAATCGAATCCAAAACAACCCATCCGCCACAGCACACATCAGCGTCCCAACCGGGTCGGGGAACCGCGCCTGACGCACCTGAAACATCCCCAGCGCGCGCTCGCCATCTTCCGCAGTGGCCATGAGCACGGTGCCGTGCCCTCTACTCCGGTTGTCCGGGCCCAGGGCGACGTCGGCGCGGAGGACGGTGCCGGCGCGCCGGAAGAGGTCTTTCAGGTCTTGCCAGCGCACTCGGTAGGGGAGCTGCGAGCAGCACTGGTTGAGATCGACAGGAAAGGATGGATTGGGCACTTACGTTGCCCACGAAGAGCTGTGTGCACGTATCCCATCCGGCGGAGGCGCTGGAGCTGGCGGAGGAGGCCATAGCCATTTGGATGACGGCCTCGATGTCGTCGTTGCTCGGGGCGCCGCCGCCCGTAGCGGAAGCGATGGACGAGCCGCCAGGACTTGCATTCGCAGAGCCTGCGCTTGCGTTGTTGACGTTGGTGAGCCTCGCAAAGGCGGCGGCAGGCGAGAGGGCAGAGGGCGCGCCTGCAGATGATAATGGAGAGACGGCGCCCGAGTTGGAGGCGGTGCCGCGGAAGGGCGAGGTGGAGGTGTGTGGGAGCGGTGGGTGGGGCGGGTAGGGGAAGGAGGAGGGGGGGACGGGGGAGGTGGATTCCTGGGAGGATGTCAGCGGTGGGCTCGCAGTGCTGGAGGAGAGGCGCACGGAGAGAGAGAGGGCGGGGCGTGCGAGCGGGAGCATGGCTGCACCGCGCGCTGGCAACGGCGGGCGTGGGCTGAGTGATGCGGCGGACGATGAGCGCCGCGCGTTGTGTGTTGCACGCTGGGGAAGTGGGTATATCACGAGGCAGAGTGCTGCGCCGAGTTTGCGACTGGAACGTCCTCGGCAGGAAACATCGCCTGCCCCCGCGATCCTCACGTGGCCGTGATGTCACTGACGTCATCCACACAGGTCACGTCGTGCGTCGGTCTCACATGCGACAGCTACAGGCCTTCTTCGCACTCGCATATGGCGCTTCGTCGGCGCATCTCTCACTTCGACTGCGCGACCTTGCTGGAGCAATGCATCACGTTTGAACCACGAGCGTACCGCCCTCTCGGCTCCCCAATAACGCCCATCTTTTACACAGCGCTTCCTGTGCTACCTCCTCGGTACGTCCACGCTGCAACGCTCTCGCCGCCACTATCATTCTTCTTACTGAACCTGCTCTGTCGCGCGAGGACGATTGCAGCCGGCCAGGAGGCTCCCCACCAACTGCCATGGGACACGATACGCTGATGCCATTCTCCACCACCACATGTTGGCTCCAATGCACCCGCCTGCAAGGCAGATCCACGACGAGCTCGAACGTCTATTCCTCAAGCAATCGACGCCAACGCCAGACCATGCCGACGCACAGTCCTGCATTGTGCTACAAAACAGGTTAGGACCAGCGCAACGCACGTTCGCTAGCGCTCCGCGCTCATTCGTCCATCATTGCTGAGCCATGTATCAAACGCTAGTACTGTATGTGCGCTGAGGATGAATCGATGATCGATGAATCAAGGATGTCCGGATACTAGTGAGACGGAAAGCTTACCAGTAAAGATGAGGCCCGCAGCTAGCATGCGGAGAAAGTCAGGTCTTACAGCATTTCACGCCTTGACATGTGTACAGGGCCGAGACGTCGAAGTGGGCTCCGAGTCATAATTGTGTCAAGAAGCGGACAGAGAGCTTCTATCTCTCGCCACTCTGTCAAGTGAGCTGATATGACCTCAGGAGCAAAAGGACTCCCTGTGATCATGATTGAGAGACTGAGCACAATCACAGACATGGCCTATCAACAGAATGGCAGAGCACAGGCCCATATACTGACCAGCTCTCTGAAACAAAGTGGCATGTCTTCAGGTGGACGGAGGATTCGAGGCGTGAGAGATTTGACATGCACCGAAGACATGAGGCCGACGGCGATCAAAGAAATCAAAATCAATGTGGACGCTGTACGCCCACATTTCGATTGGCGGCTTCTCATGCCAGACATGGCCGATTAACCGGAGGTGAGCCGATCTTGCATGTGTCAAAGAGAATACCGCCGTGGATCGGTTTGGTGGGACCTAGAGGGAATACTGACCTTCTTGATGGGAAAATGGGCCTGGACGTAGTGTCTGCTGACTTCCATTCAGCTCGGCTACAGTGGTTCATTCATGTGAGTGAACCGTTCGGCCAGTC